TGTTGCTTAACCCCTCCCTATGTGTGCTGCAGGGTCTGGAAGGGAAAGCATGCGAGATCCAAATGTAGGAGGATTTGACTCACTCAGGGGAGATCTTTTTTAATATGCTATATGAAGCTTGTGCATCACATAGAAGTGGATTTGGGACCTGTGTAGACTGCCACACAGGAGCCTTTAGATGTACTTGAACTGTGGAGTTCTGTTATCTATTATGGTTGTACATGTTCAGAAGAGGTTATACAGAAAAAGGCCATGAAGTTGGCAAGTTGGCAACTGTCAAACCTCAGCTGAACTCTGACTCTTAAGAACAAAATTAAAGGATAGGGCACTAAATAAGGGAGCAAATATAAACCTTTAATAAATAAGAATGCATTATTATAATAAATTAAGAATACATTTTTAGATTCTTGCCTATGGCCAGCTATGACTCTTTCTCTTTAATCACCTGTTCCCTGTTCAGTTCAGTTCAGTCCCATGGATAAAACAATAGAAAAGCTTCAGTAGGTGTGATGGAAATTTCTCTTATGACCCTCCCATGTAAACGACAGTGAAATTCATTAAATATGCAAAGCGATATTAATTATTTAGGGATCAGAGGAATTCGATGATTCTCAGCATGCCAGGATTAATTCTACACTCTACTAAAACATTTTTTATTGGAGAAGCGCATAAAAAAATACCACTATCAAAAAACCTGAGTGGTTATTCAGAATACCTGCTGGAAATGCCAAGATAAGCAATTTTTTCCTAAGAAGTGTGTTCTGAATCGGTGAGCTCAGGGTACACCTGGGCCAAATAAATAATTCACAATGTGAGACGTGAGTGGAATTAATATGAGAGACACACCCGACATCTTAACACTATTGGCGACAAAGGCAGACATTATAGCCTTAAAGCGACACTGTCATTATCTAACCACAATTCAAAGTAGTCATACCTGTAAAAGAAACAAGTAGATACTTACACACTGTCTGCTCTGCCAGACAGCAGCTCCATCCACAAGACGTTTCTGGAAGAAGATTGATAGGTAAACAGACACTTACGGGAGTGTTGATCTCCCGGATTCCCCTGCAGTGTTCAGTAGTTCCTCCTTCTGACCCCCCCACTCATTACAGGACTCAGTAGTGACACGGAGGTCAGTGGGAGGAACCACTAAACACGGCAGGTGGCCCACGAGATTGACACTCCCGAAAGTGTTGATTTCCCTTGGACCTTAGGATTTCTCCTGAATGGGGAGGGGTTCTGGTGGAAAGCTAAAGGGTTCATTTATAAAAGTTCAACCAGTGTAAATGAAATTCCTATACTAGTCAGCACCATCTAGAGGCATTTGTGCTCTATGAATCTTTAAAAATGAACCCCTAAGAATCCACTTGTTTCTTTTACGGGTACAGAAGTTTTGGATTGTGGCAGATAATAGCAAGTTCATTTATGGTCAAGGCCAGTTGTATCAATCGGCTAAACAAAATCCCCCAATTACCATATTTAATGAAGATTCATATAGACACTGTGTTTTCATATTGATGTTCAAAAGGAAGGTCTTGTTTTATCGTAGACGCTGTCTGTGCATGTATCAATACTTTCCTTTCTGGAAACTTTTTTCTCATTAATTTGTTTTTACAAAGTTCACTGTACCAAAGTTTTTTTAAGCTCAATCTGACTATATACAGCCAATGCTTTCGCCTATACAGCAAAAAAAAATAAAAAAAATCTAATATCTTGTAAGCCCTCACAAGCCGGGCCCTTACTTTCTATCTTCTCTTGAATTGTATTGCAATTGTAATGTCTTCCTTATATTGTAAAGTGCGGGGCAAACTGTTGGCGCTATATAAATCATGTATAATAATAACTGGCAGGGTGACTTTTCAATCATTTTAATATAAAAATAACACAATAACAAAATAAAAAACACAAAAGAGTGCCTTGCGGGCTAAACAAATTATTTAATCAGCACAAGATTTCCAGCTATATGATAAAGTTCAGGGACAGTGCTACAGCTTTCACTGCTCTGGAAATGCTCAGTAGCTGTCAGGCCTCATCTAAACTCCCTTTATCAAAAGCAAGGCTTGCATCCTTGCACTTGGCAAATACTTGTACCACTGTATAGGGTTACCATGGGAACTAGTGCAGCTCCAAGGCCTCTAATATGACGCATTCCAAAAGTTAGAATGTACTCCCTCTTTGAATTCTCTTTTCAAATTAAAATCAGACTCAGAGTCACCTAACCGTACCTTGGAAAAGAGATTGGGAATCTCCACAAATAATACTGACGTTACCTTCTTGAAGTCAGTAGTCATAAAATGACAATAGGAATACCCCCCAAAAAAAGAAAATAACGTGTTTAAAATCTGGTGGTACTTGCTATGCAAAAACAAATACGGACCATAAGCACAAGAATGCCCGATAATGCCACTATCATATGGATGGTAATAGCTGTACTTGAAAAAAAGTATTTAGGCTATTAGACGGCTACATGCCTGTTTATAATCTCAACCCATAGATACATACTATGGGCCTCATTTACAAAACCAGCTTGAAGTAGAACTATAACTGTTCCAAAGTTCATTAACATACCAGGTACCATGTGACTCAAAGGTTAACTCCCCAATAAATCAGCTCCTGCATACCTGGAAACCCATATACAAATCCCAAATTGGAGAAAAAGAAAGAAACCACCTCTACATTCTACAATGCAAAGCATGCACCTCAGTGGCCTACAGAGAGCTACATGCCTTGCCCTATCAGAAGTGGAGGTGATTGGATGGTGGCTTAGTTTTTAAATATTAGAGCCTACCTGGGTCTAGGGGCTTCCAGGGAGAGCTGGTACCACTTACCAGGAAAAAGGGTATGTATGTAATGTTCAGTGCATGGTTTCAAAAATCACCAAGTAGTTGAACCAATGGAGCTCCTAAGTAAAGACAGTCATTTACAGTAACCACAACTTCAATGCTGTACAAAAGGAGTAATAAAATGAACAGTGCTAAGCTTGGAGAATTAAAATATTCAAGAAATAAAATAAGAGATCTGGAAATCACAAAAGGGATGTGAAGATGTGGCTTTGCCGTTTTCTGCAACCATAAGAAAGGTATTGATGTTAAAACCAGACTGAGTTACCTATTCCGGACACATTTGTCTGCACAGCAGACACGGCTCTAATAGGAGTAAATGTGGAGTAAGGATGCCTGAGTTGTGCAACTTGGAGCTTACCCCGTCAGGCAGCATTATAAAAAAAATGTTTCTTCCAGGTTTTATAGATCAACCCAAGTGTTCTTACTTTTAGATAATCATACATAGAATCAATGCTTGTGTCAAACTGTCCTAACAGTTCCAACCCAATCATGTAGTCATCTGAATATAGATAAGGTGAGCCCTGTCCATTAAGACATGTCCTGGGCAGGTTAGAAATTGAGTGATTTACATGAGAAGATCGCACAACATACATGTGGGGTTTGCAATGACTTGCCTGTGAACAATTGATCCGCAGTATGCTGTGCTGGTATGCATTATGGTGCAGACCAACTCAAAACCAGCAACCTTTCACCAACACACTGACCCCAACCTAGGCAATAAAAACCTAACTTTAATCCTAACCCCCTCAGTACCATTTGCCCCAACTCATATCTTTACTGTCAACGGGATGTCCCTGCGAGACAGGCTTGGAAATGTCCAGTAAGGGGAGTGAAGTGCTAAAAAAAAATTCTCTCCAGGAGATGTAAATGCTATTTCCCAAAATGATATTTACAGATGGTACAATCATAAAACCACACATATGCTCAGGTTTTGTATAATCACTTCCCTCATAATGTTAATCATAATTTTAGTCAGCTTTAGAGCCTGGTGGGCTGAGTGAAACCCCAGCTTTTTTTATGGTTTAGATACACCAATGATGAGATCTCCCTGCCATATTTTTGGACTCTTTTAGTATCCCCTGGTAGGTCTGGGTGTTCCTCTCCATGTTTGTAAGTTCTAGTACCTCTGCTGCATTCTCCATCATTTTAAATAAATACATAAAACAACAGGGAGAATTTGAACTCCTTATAATGGCCCATAGCAGGTGTGCAGACCAAAGTGTAAAATCAGAACATCTCACATACATGCACATTTCCCTATGATTTGTCTCTTTAAAGTGGCACTACAGGCAACATTTTCATTAACCCCCTCAGTGGGGCTACCCCCGTACTGCAAGGGTTAAGTGCTCATTGTTAGTCCTGGGAGGAAAATAAAGTTATACTCACCTGAACCTCAGAGCCGGCATCTCCCTTCAGCTTAGAACATGGTGACTCAAGGATCTTCAAGGATCCTTAGACCGCTGCAGCAGTTGGGGCGGGTGAAAAGGCTCCAGGGACTGGTCTAAGAGCAAACCATCTATGAGGATCGGATGCGTATAACTTAACACCTAGACAAAAATGAGCTCCTATCCCTTGCCTGGAGTTCTTCTTTAAAAGCACTACAAATGCAGAAAAAATACCTGTTGATCCTGAAATCGACTGAGGTCCTAAATGTCTGTTCTTGGCTAACAATGCCACCTCTGCTGTGCTGAAGTAGTATTGACAGCCCTTCCTCAGTTTTCACCTCCTAGACTAGAGAACCCCCCATGCCATGTAGGTGAAGTGAGGGAATATGTTCTGTAGTACAGCAGGGGAGATCTAACACAGTGCTTATTACACTGCTTGGATTTTAGTGCTGCAGAAGCATGACTGCCAGCCCAAAACAAGAAAGACTTGGGGCAGAATCAACATATATTATACACTGGGCCTGCACACTGCACTTTATACACTCTAAGAGATCTCACCAACAAAATCTCTACAAATATAAAAGACGGTCAGACAGTTTAATTTTCCAGCACCTGTAAAGCATCAATATATTGGTGCTCTGTCCCTTTAAACTGGAATTCTATATACGCTAAATTTAAAAAGCTCTCTAGCTAGTACCTGCATAGGGATACATGTTCCCATTAGAAAAACTATGCTGTAGTGACCGAAATATGCAGGGCATGAATAATAATGGAGATAAGCTACAATAATAGCAGATTATGATCCTACTAGACAGTTTCCTCTCTCTCTGGGATATCCTATAATGGTAAATGCACATCAGGATGTAATGCTGCATTACAGAATACATAAAAACTTGTACTTATCTAGAAATCTCTATTAAAACAATGGCAGAAATAAACATAGTCTCACTCTTTGGATTAGTGTGTTGGTAGAACTGCAAGATGTGAACATGAGCGATTAACATTACAAAGAGGTAATAACAGAAGTTCATTATTTATACGATGGGGGAAAAAAATAAATCACATGCAGGTCCTGACGAGCCCCCAACATCTGCCGGTTGGAAGACACACGAGACTCTTGCTAATCAGTTTTCCCATTTTTCTGAGTTTTGGTCAAACAGCCATCAGTATGATAGAGGACTTTGTAGCATCCCTTAGTGATCTTCATCATCCACATGACGTTCATTATATCCAGGGATACACTGGAGATGATCCAAGCGCATTGTGCCCCTAGGCCCAGTCTATGAAATGCCTCTGTGCCAAAAGTGGAAAAGACGCGCCCATAGTAGGTCGGTATGACAGCTATCCTGACGATGAAGAAGACGATTGTCATCAAAACTCCATTCACCATGTTGGGCACGGAATGTTTGTGGTATCGCAGCACTTCAAAGAACCACCTGCATAACTCAACAGAAGTGACAAGTTTAATGCCGGCCGCAGCTAGACAAAGTAAAAAAGTACATTTAATCAAGCAGTGCTGTTAGCGGTGAGATTAGGATGACTGATTCTTGATTGTTTCTCTACCAGATGGTCTTTAAAGGAGAACTATGAGGTGAGTGCTTTTCACTCACCTCATAGTTCCAGCCGACCTGTGACAATGAGACTGTCACAGGTCGGCTCAGTAGATCGGGAAGTGAGCAAACACATACCGGCGTTCGCTCACCTCTCAATCCTGTCACAGCTCTCTGCCGTGACAGGGGAGGGGCTGGATTCCCCACTCCCCGATCCTCCAGCGCTGACTGGCGGAACGGACGGGGGGAGGGGGCGGGTACAGCTGGCTCTGCCTCTAGATAGGCAGAGCCAGCTGTCACTCACGCAGTTGGGCGGATCCACACATAATTGTCGGGATCCGCTTCAGCTGCGGCGTCTCAGTATACCGCGGGCTGCTGCTCGCGGTATACTGCGGCGTCTCAGTATCCCGCGAGCTACAGCTCGCAGTACACTGAGCTAAGGGTGACAGGAGGATGCTAGTTTGTGTCCTCCCGTTACCCTAAGGAGAACTATGGGGAAAAGCCTTAACCCCATAGTTCTCCTTTAAAGAAGAACTTCAGACAAAACTTTTAAATAACCCTTGCAGTGGGGCTACCCCCACACTGCAAGGGTTAACTACTCATTTTGGTCTAGGGAGGAAAATAAAGTCATACACACCCGATTCTCAGAGCCGGCTGGAGGCGATAGTGCTCCCTCCAGCCTGTCTTCTCCACTACTCCAAAAGATGGTATGTCCCTCGGTGGCCTCACGTCCTATACACTGTGTATAAAACATGATGACTCAGGGACCCTAGACTGCTGCAGTAGAGGGGAAGATAGGCTGAAAGGCCTGGTCCTAAGAGAAAACTGGCTCCGTGGATCAGGTGAGTATAAAACTTTTTTATTTTCCTACCTAGACCAAAACTTTAACCGTTTCGTGGCCAGAGGTCATTGATGTCTACATGGCAAGAGCAAATATAGATGCCGCAGCATGCGTCTCTTAACTTTACAATAATTGTATGATTGATTCACATACATACATAATTTGTATGTTTTTTGTGGACACATGAGGCTTTTATTTGGTACACTATTTTAATTTAAAAAAAAATGTTTTATTTTTTTAAATTAAAAGTTTTATTATAGACATGTAAAAAATGCTTTAATTCATTTTTTTTTTCAAAATACTGTAATCAGATTACAGTGTTAAACATGCAGCCTGAAGATGGTAGTGTTCATCTGCAAGCTGAAGGCTTTCATGATCCCTGGTTCCCTATTCTTAGCGGAGATCCGAGCTGTCCGTGACTGCTGAGATTAAAGCCCGTCCAAACTCAAAAGCAAAATTGTTATGCATTGCAGTTTACCAGTCCTTAGATATGATGACTGCATTACTTTTCTTTTTTAATGGACTTTTAACTTTATTTTTAATTGGCGATCCTACCTGTAACACACTTCCTGTCCTAGGATGACAACACTCACTCACTGTACTGTATCAATGGGGAAGTGTCATCCTGATTTGGACTACAAATACCTCCTTCCCTCATCATCTCTGTTACAGGTAGGTAGGAAGAGTTTTCTAAATAACAGAAGATAGTTTGTAAAGCTGATAACATTGTTGGAGAGTTTAGTTTACTGCAGTTATAAGGATACTGGATTTCTATCAGGTTCAGCAGGTATTTTTGGGTACTTGCACAAATGTACTTAGCCTAAAAACTTAAAACAACTGCAGCCACCACAACTAAGGACTAGTAGTTGGAATATATAACATGTTCTTGAGTTTAGATATACTTTAAGAGCCACCAGCTGCACTAAATGTTGGCTGATGGATCTTAAAGGGGAAAAGGTTTATAAACAGAATCCCAGCAAGATGCCCCATTTATATACAGATGGTGGGCATGCCGGTGTTAAAGTACATGTGTAGCAAGAAGATTTAAGTTCTAGATAGAGTAGGAAGGGTTAAACCCCATCAGGTTCGTTTTTGCTTTCATTTTCCTTCACTTCCTGTCCCAGGGACGCAACAGGATGTGAAAGGATATCATCTACAAAGTGGGGGGTATCCACCTTTTAGACAGTAGTCATAGGAACATTTGTCCCTATTGGAAGATTTCCCCTCACCTCCCGTTCTGGTGACAACTTTAACCGATTTAACCGACTAAAATTTCAATTTAATGTACTTTATTCTAAAAATACTAGATTGATAAACATTTGCGCAAATACCATAATAAGATTGCAACTAGAATTTTTTTTTACTCTACAGGGCCTCTACTTTCAGAAAATATAGAATTGTTGGGGGTTTTAAGCTGTTTTCTAGCCAAAAATTAATATTTTATCGTGTGCAAATAATAAGAAAATTGCTCCGGACAGCAAGTGGCTAAAATTGGGATGGATTTCCTATCACTTTTTGTCTTGGTAATAATGGTCACCAGGACAAACAGGTGATTCTACCTCTGTGGGAACAAAGTCAGCACTACAAAGTTTACAAGGGTTTTAATCCTTCTTTACTATATCCAAAAATTATATAAAAGGCCCCATTCCCACTTTCAAATGGGACCGGTTTGCAAATTTCTCCAAGACTCAAGGCTCCAAGTGGAAATCTCTGTGCAATACAATGATAGTTGCCACCACCTGCAGCTGTTCGCAGGCCGTTCATGTGTCATCCCCTATGCTGTGATTAATTGCGGACAACCGCACCTAGAAGCGGACTGTTTGCGTCCAAGTGCGATCATTCACAGGTAAATGCAGCATGTGCGGCCTGTGAACAGCTGTGGGTGGTGGCAGCTGCCATTGTATAGTACAGCACCTCCCGCCTGCAGCTGAGCGCATGAATCTAATAAAGAAATTCGAGAGGCCCCATTCGCAAGTGTGGAAAGGAGTCTAAAAGTGCCCATACACCTGCCGATTATAGTACGATAATCGCGGGTGATCCCTTAGCTGGGAGGGCTTGCGATGATCGCAAGTACGATCTGCCTGTCCAAGATGGGCAGATCGTACGAGATTTTAATTACTTACAACCATCGCACAACGAAAGTCGTGCGATGGTTGTAAGGTGCATGGCCAGCTTAACGCTCTGTGTGCACTTTTAAAGAAATCTGTGCGGACAGGAAATTGTAGGCTGCAATTGCTTAGCTCCTTTTTTTCTCTAATGCATATCCTTTGACTTTATTCATTTAAGTCACTGACCAGGTATTAGTATGTATAGTAAGTGTGCAGATAGAGCAATCTGACGTCACTTGCTACATGCTTGTTACAGGTAAATGACTCACAAAACACAAAAAACTCAGACAGGCTTGTGGCATTTTTAGAAGCAGATCAACACCTTATTTCTTTAACAATAGATTTTCTTTCAGTTTAGGCATATTCGATTTTAAAAAACCTTAATGAAAAATTGCAGCAGTGGCTGTGACCTTTGTGGTTTCTTTCATCACCGATAAAATGTATTTTAGGGAACACTAAAAAAAAAATGTCCAAGGTCAATCAATGATCAAAAGAAACAAAGCGCTAAAGGTAGCTGTATGAGCAAAAGAATATGCTATAATTGATTCTGGCGAGGTCAGTATGGAAGCTAATATATAAGTATAAAACAGGACTAGCTTCATAAACAAGTATAGATAAAACCAGTCTAACCAAAATACAAAAATCAATTAGAACCACTAAAATTCATTCCGATACAATAACCACTGAGGAAGTCACATGACGAAACGCGTCGAGGAGGGTAGATGCTAAGTTTAGCCAGACACGAAGCTTCACGTCTGTCTCTGTGCTGTTTTTAGCTGGTCGATATTTTTTTGTCTTGTAAGCCAATTTTTGGAATAAAAGTTTATGGCTTTATATATTGCGCAATGAAGGTTCTTTCTTTCTCTTTTATTTATCTCTAAAAAAAAACGGCGGGACAAACGGCAAAGTATATTATTATTTTTTATTCCAAAAAAAACGGACTCCTCATCTGGGAGATATAGCCAAACGGCTTAGAGGAGAAAATCAACTGCTTCAGCTGCTGAGACCCGCGGGGAATACGTCTGTGCTAAAACCTAATCCCGGCACCACTCACTAAAAGTTTTCTACCAACTTCACTCTGGTGAGTACCCACCCGAGAGGGACAGTTCGGAACAATTCGAAGCACATTGCTGTTTTTGCACATTTGTACATTTGCACACGGAACTTACCGTTCACCTGTTACCCGAGAGGGACAGTTTGGATCAATCTCAAGTACACTGCTATTTTTGCACATTTTTATTTGCACATGGAAACCACCTTTCACTTGGATTTTTTAAGCATTGGACACTGATTTTGACGTTTTAAACATTGTTCGTTTATTTATTCCATCGGAATGAATTTTAGTGGTTCTAATTGATTTTTGTATTTTGGTTAGACTGGTTTTATCTATACTTGTTTATGAAGCTAGTCCTGTTTTATACTTATATATTAGCTTCCATACTGACCTCGCCAGAATCAATTATAGCTTATTCTTTTGCTCATACAGCTACCTTTAGCGCTTTGTTTCTTTTGATCATACTAGGTTCCACCTTTTTTCAGAGCAGCTTGGGGTATAATTATTCACATTTATTCACATTTATTCACATTTATTCTTACTTTATTAATTTAATTAATTTAATTTATTACTAAATTTTATTTTTCCAGAAGCGCAGATTTATTTGTTTACATTCAAGGTCAATCAATACCTACAAAGCATTTAATATATACTAAACAAGCAGGTCAGCATGCACAATCTGAAATCGCTTGCTTTGGGGTCTGAAAAGCCACTAGGACAGGCGAAGATCTGATGTTGGGGTTTGGCTAAGTACATATGGAAGGGGCACAGACTGCCACACTGATGTAACAGGCTGGGGGGGTACCAACATTTTCTTATTAGTAGTGATGTCTGAGCAATCCCCAAATAATTGGAAGCAGTAGCAGAAGGGTCTGTACAGGAAATCTATTCAAGTTTAATGATATAATGTAAAAAATGCAGGTATAAGCACAGAAAAATCTTGTATTTTAATGGTGTGATTTTTTTTTAATAAATGATTTTAACTTAATTGCAATGTGCCTCTGAATCTGCTAGAAAATATGGTTATTCCAGGAGAATCAATTCCCTAGCACAACCTCCTCCCTCCTTGTCCATCACATCCCTCTCCTCTTATAGAAGTGTTTAATTACTGTCTGTGCTGGCCCAGCACCTCTGTCCTTCCCTACATAACTTTTATTGTTGAATGGGAATACTATATTATAGATGCCAGGGGAGGAGTAAAGGGGAATACTATAAAGCAGGGGTAGCCAAACATCCCTCCAACTGTGATGAAACTACAAATTTCTTTACACATCTGCCTGTGGAAGTCATGTCTGTGGCTGTCAGAGTCTTGCAATGCCTAGTGGCCAAAGTTTGGGTACCCATGCTATAAAGTGTCACTTGAGTGACCGCGCTGAGTCTGCTGACCTCACATCCAAGATGGCAGCACCAAGAAGCAGTCTCCGGGCTTTAGGATGCCTTTTGGTAAATTGCATAAAATGAAGTAGCAAGAGGCCTTGGAATAGTTATAGGCCAAGTCAAAAAATTGTTGGTTTAGATTTAAGTTCAGTATAAATAGAATATGCATAAATAAATTCAATGCTCATAAAATCTTATTGGAATCGTATTGGCATAAGGTGCTACTGAAGTGGACCAACACATGATAGAATTTATCTTCTGATTAGGAAAGGCAATGTAGAAGCTAGAACAAAACTACTGATTCACAGTTTGGGGTGTGATTGCGAAAACCTTTGACAAATGTGTCTAGGCCAGGTCTAATGTGTACATGTACTTTTATCCAACCTGAAATAAGAACCATACAGATAACTGAAAGTCAATATTTGAAGGGTTTCACTTACCGTTGATTGACAAAAGGCGTAGAGAATTCAGCTAGGAGCCGGAAATTACCAAAATATGGCAACATTCCTTCACCCTGGAAAGTGAATTGATGGTTATAAAAATATTGATTACAAACAAGAAACTGGATACCACAGAGTTGCTGGACAAATTCCTTTAGCTACAAAAGAAAGTTAAAAAAAAATAAAGTTATTGTGTTCTTTGAGAGAGAAGTAACTTGGCAATTAAGAGTTATAGTGACCCGAGTATTTCCTCTTCACTTTAAAGGAGTTTTACATTTTCTGCCTGGAGGTGACATGACCCGGCTTTGCGGAATAATTATGGCTCGGAGGGATCACAACTGCATTTTTGCCAGGCAGCTAGCATTTTCAAATAGAGGGGTCAGAAATGGCAGCTTCCAGCACATGATAGGTTTAATACTTATAAATATACACAACTTTCTGAGATAAGCACAATGGGGGGAATTGATCAAAACTGGAACAAACAGAACCTAGAGCAGTGGCCCATGGCAACCAATGAGGGACAGTCCCTCCAAATAGGGGACACCAGCATTATTCTGGAGCAGCACAATGCATACAAATTCATTTTTTCGTTTGTCAGGCCACTTTTGGGTAAATCCAAAAATTATGGTTGATGGAGTGCACGCAGGGGCAGGTTAGATGAGTTAAATGACTCTCAGGCAACATGTTACTTTCTCCAATATCTTTTGTTTGATATCTGCACTGTACAGGAATAGGTGTAAATAAAGGAGATACACGCTACTTCCAATATTCATTTTGGCTTTTTTTGGAGTTATCACTTCACTTGGGGCATCTATAAATTTGTGCCATTCTTGCATTGTGCTAGTATTTGTTTAAAAACAGCTCTAGCAGGGGAATATCATGTGCACCTCTGCCATTTTGCTGTTTTCAATGTCTTTCAAGCTCCCAAGTTGTTGGACAACTCAGTTGAAAGAATCTTCTCTGGCACAGCATTGCCCCAACTTTGGAAACACCAATATTTTTAATGGTTTCTGCAGTACACAAGAAAAGTTAGGACTGATAGAGCACTTTAAGCTGCTTATTGGCATACTAAAAACAGCCACTCACAATCACTCAGCCAACGGAAGGGGTTTCTACTAGTGATGGGCTCGGGCGTGTTCGCAGCTCCACGTACCGAGCCCGCCAGGAAGCTGACAGCGCCGCATCGCCAATCACAAGTACTGAGCCATTTGCCAATCTCTGCAGCTGCGGACCGGGATAATGTCTCAGTAGCTGTGATGTTTGGTCGCTGCAGCGCTGTCAGCTTCCTGGCGGGCTCGGCACATGGAGCTGCGAACACGCCCGAGCCCATCACTAGTTTCTACCTCATAGCTGACTGTGGAAAATCCCTTTAATAGGTCACTGGGATCATGTTCACACAAATCGGCTTGTAAGCAATGCTTAGCATTTGCATCTTTCTTTCCTTTAATAAAAAGATTCATTATGATGTTTCTGTTGAAGAACAAATCTGAACCATCTTAATAAATAGTAGTAAGTGGCACAAAGTGGAAGATATCCAGCATCTGAAAATATGGAAAGCAGAAGCTGTTTCATTAAGCCAATGCATAATCCTATCTTTTTTGCTAAAGCTGAAGTTTATTTCTTTTTCCAGGGGTCTACCACCAGCGACTATCAATGTGACAGAATTGCGCTGCTTGCCCGCCTCTTCCTGCCCCGTTTTTGATTCATAGAATTCATACTATTATTGTTCCACAATGCAACATGCTCTGTGAGTGAAAGAGGAGTGAATGAATGGCAGAGTCTGTCCATTTAAACAGTGCATTGCATTGCGGAACAAAAATAATATGAGCTCTATGAATCGAGAAGGGGGCAGGCAAGCAGCGAAACTCAATCACACTGATAGCTGCTGGTGTCAACCCCGAGGGCACCGGAAGATAATGGCTCTGGGGTGTGTCCGTGAGCATAAAGGGAAGATTTTGTCACAAAGCAACAGCCTAGAGGAGGTGGGATACACACATCATATGTAACTAATGTGATTGGTGCTGTATCCTAAAAAAACAACAAAACCTCAGCTTTAATTAAGCAAGAAAAAGAAGCTATCGGAAAACAATGCTGAAAAGTTAACTATGTAAACAAAGCTTTACAGGTGCCATTTCTGACCACTTTTCTTGATATAAAGAAACAGCAGTTAAACTATATCTCCACCATTCTTGCAAATGAGATATTAGCAGAGTAGTGAACGTAACTGTAACTTTTTTATGCATTCTGTTTCAATAGGCCTTTATTGTATGTGCCTAAAGAACACCTAATGTGTAATGGTTGTCTGTCTACAATTATCCAACAGGCAAAATGTTATATTGTTGTTAAAATTAAAAATATTGGCCAACAGGATTAATGCAAAAGCCTGTAGCAGTATAAGGGAAACAACACAATCAATAAACAATATTAAAAAAATAATTTGCTGCATTATCTCACAACATCAAATTTTCCAATGAAGTCTAAAAGGGATGAATTACCCCTCATCGCTGGGTGACACATACCTAACAATGCTGATTAACCAAAAAAAAACAAATACAAATTCCTTTTAATCTTTCAACTACAAAAAATGCTTAAGTAATATCAAACTACTTTAAATTACTTAGGTTTGTCCAACACACTGTTTTATCCCATGCTTGGAATAAGTTTAATATACTTCAGATAGTATTTATTGTCCATTATAGAGATGTCCCATGCACATCCAAAAGTGAACTCCTGCTTCAGATCTTCTTATAAAGCAATATAACTGAGTTCCCCACCTGGTTTTCCACCCACCTATCTGCTCACTAATCAGTAAAAGAATGGAAGAACAGACCAAAAGGACACCATTTGGAGATATAGATGCAAACATTGTTTATTCGGTTTAAACTATACTCATTTATAGAGTAAGAACAATTGTTTTGGAGGACATTGATGTTTCAGTAGCTTTGATGTTTGGTCGCTGCAGCGCTGTCAGCTTCCTGGCGGGCTCGGCACATGGAGCTGCGAACACGCCCGAGCCCATCACTAGTTTCTACCTCATAGCTGACTGTGGAAAATCCCTTTAATAGGTCACTGGGATCATGTTCACACAAATCGGCTTGTAAGCAATGCTTAGCATTTGCATCTTTCTTTCCTTTAATAAAAAGATTCATTATGATGTTTCTGTTGAAGAACAAATCTGAACCATCTTAATAAATAGTAGTAAGTGGCACAAAGTGGAAGATATCCAGCATCTGAAAATATGGAAAGCAGAAGCTGTTTCATTAAGCCAATGCATAATCCTATCTTTTTTGCTAAAGCTGAAGTTTATTTCTTTTTCCAGGGGTCTACCACCAGCGACTATCAATGTGACAGAATTGCGCTGCTTGCCCGCCTCTTCCTGCCCCGTTTTTGATTCATAGAATTCATACTATTATTGTTCCACAATGCAACATGCTCTGTGAGTGAAAGAGGAGTGAATGAATGGCAGAGTCTGTCCATTTAAACAGTGCATTGCATTGCGGAACAAAAATAATATGAGCTCTATGAATCGAGAAGGGGGCAGGCAAGCAGCGAAACTCAATCACACTGATAGCTGCTGGTGTCAACCCCGAGGGCACCGGAAGATAATGGCTCTGGGGTGTGTCCGTGAGCATAAAGGGAAGATTTTGTCACAAAGCAACAGCCTAGAGGAGGTGGGATACACACATCATATGTAACTAATGTGATTGGTGCTGTATCCTAAAAAAACAACAAAACCTCAGCTTTAATTAAGCAAGAAAAAGAAGCTATCGGAAAACAATGCTGAAAAGTTAACTATGTAAACAAAGCTTTACAGGTGCCATTTCTGACCACTTTTCTTGATATAAAGAAACAGCAGTTAAACTATATCTCCACCATTCTTGCAAATGAGATATTAGCAGAGTAGTGAACGTAACTGTAACTTTTTTATGCATTCTGTTTCAATAGGCCTTTATTGTATGTGCCTAAAGAACACCTAATGTGTAATGGTTGTCTGTCTACAATTATCCAACAGGCAAAATGTTATATTGTTGTTAAAATTAAAAATATTGGCCAACAGGATTAATGCAAAAGCCTGTAGCAGTATAAGGGAAACAACACAATCAATAAACAATATTAAAAAAATAATTTGCTGCATTATCTCACAACATCAAATTTTCCAATGAAGTCTAAAAGGGATGAATTACCCCTCATCGCTGGGTGACACATACCTAACAATGCTGATTAACCAAAAAAAAACAAATACAAATTCCTTTTAATCTTTCAACTACAAAAAATGCTTAAGTAATATCAAACTACTTTAAATTACTTAGGTTTGTCCAACACACTGTTTTATCCCATGCTTGGAATAAGTTTAATATACTTCAGATAGTATTTATTGTCCATTATAGAGATGTCCCATGCACATCCAAAAGTGAACTCCTGCTTCAGATCTTCTTATAAAGCAATATAACTGAGTTCCCCACCTGGTTTTCCACCCACCTATCTGCTCACTAATCAGTAAAAGAATGGAAGAACAGACCAAAAGGACACCATTTGGAGATATAGATGCAAACATTGTTTATTCGGTTTAAACTATACTCATTTATAGAGTAAGAACAATTGTTTTGGAGGACATTGAGAGACCAATGTCACTAGAGATTGAACAGGTTAGAATTTGATCAGAGATACACAGAAATACATCTGTGCTCTAGGCTAGGACTTCTTAGTGGATGTGCATGCTGGGTGAAAGGATATACAATACCAGCAAAACTTACTTTCCGTTGTTACTTCTAAAACCCAAGACCCATCTGTGTTTTGCAAGAAGTCTTGTACAGAGGTTCATAAGTAGATTAAAGTGAGAAATGCCTTCCATAATAGGCAGTGCATAAAGGACATAACTTGGCCAGTATTATACAAAAGGAATACCTGCTATCTGTTAAGCGTTAGCAATATCCGCAAGAATTTACACTGACCAACATATAAACGGATTCAACCAATTGTTGCTAGTGGGAGCAGACCAAGCTAGTTAGCATTCAATTTTGATAGTGCATGCCCATGTGTTTTTCTATCACATTTTCTACATAGGGCTACAGCT